GCAGGGCGGCGTCCAGCACCTACGGGGCCACCACCTTCAGCCTTCCTTTCTTGTAGACCCAGCCGGTTCCTCGGTCCCTCAGTCCCTCGGATCTCTCTGTCACCGCCCTCCCTCCTGCAGAGCAGAGTGCTGGCCTAGCTGGGGGCTCGAGCTTGAGGCAGAAGCTCCTGCTCCTCTGTGCTCTGCTCCCCAGTGGAGGAATGCCCCGGGGTGATGGCTGCTGCTGGCCGGTGGCTGAGTATGTGTGACAGGCTCGTGGTGGGCCTGGAAGGGTCCTTGGTGCATTGGGTAGCTGCCAACAACATGGCGGTGTGTCCAGTTAGCGATGCCAGCTGTGATCACTTCCTCAAGGAAGTTTCTCCACTGGAGAGAGAACTGGCTTTGCCTTTGTGATCACCCTGGTGTGGAGACCTGGTCCTCATCCAGCTTTCACCTGGAAGGGTTAGCACCAGTGGCCCGTTCTAACTCCGCCCACCTTTCTGTACTTGCCAGGTGGCGTCCTTGGCTCTCCTTCCTCCTCCGTGCATTAATGTTTGTTTGTGCCCATGTAGGCTCGTGCCTGTCTGTCTTATTCAGTGGATTATAATCCCTGTTCTCATTATTTATGTTGGTGATTAAATTGTTAGCCAGTGGGAGCCCTTTCAGACTGGCAGCTCTTTCCGTTAGCTGCGTCCCCTTCTTCCTTTGACACTTGCCTACCTGCTGGCACACAAGGCGCTGCGCATCGGATACTTTGCTGTGGGCCTGGAAGCCACCTGTTTGTAGTGAGAACACCAAAGCGGTGCATCCCGAACAGAGGTTACTGTGCACCACCATTTGGGATTTGTTTTGTTACCTGGGTCTTGCGTTTATGTGTTGTTGGGAGAGGAGACCTCATGACAGACTCCTGGGTGGCTTTCTTTCTATGAAATGTGGAGACTGTAAATAGGTATATAGATTTACCTGATAGATAACTTAGACTAAACTAAAGGTTAAGTACTAAAGCAGTTCCTTTTTTTAAATCCTCACCTGAGAATTTTTCCATTGATTTTTTTTTTTTTTTTTTTAGAGAAAGTGGAAAGGGGGAGAGAGAGAAAGAAAGAAATATCCATGTAAAAGAGACACATCGATTGGTTGTTTCCTGCTCACACCCCAACCGAGGCCAGGGTTCGAACTGTCAATCCATGTACGTGCCCTTGACTAGAAATTGAACCTGTGACCTTTCAGTCCGAGGGTTGATGCTCTAACCACTGACCAACACTGGCCAGGGCTAAAGCAGCTGTTCTTTGAGCACTGATTGTGTAGCTGTAACTTTTAAAAATATATATATTTTTATTGATTTCAGAGAGGAAGGGAGAGAGGAAGAGAGATAGAAACATCAGTGATGAGAGAGAATCATTGATCAGCTGCCTCCTGCACACTCCCCACTGGGGATCGAGCCTGCAACCCCGGGCACCATACCCGACTGGGAATCGAACCTCCTGTCATAGGTCGACCCTCAACCACTGGCCCATACCAGCTGGACTATAGCTATCATTTTAATTCCTACAAAGACACATGTTAAACAAGGGAACTGAGGCTCAGACAGGTTAACATACAGGCCAGAGAGTCACACAGCTAGTGAATGGTTGAGCCAGAGTTTTAGTTCCCTTTGGTCTGACTTCAAAGTTCATTTTTTCTGATATACTGTGTCATGATGTAATACATTTCCTTACTCTAAATTATAGAATTTGTACACCTAACAGTGGATGACAAAAATCTTACTTGAGGTTCAACGTCTTTCACCTACTGCATAATTTCATGTCTGTATGGAAATCAAGTCTGAAAACCTGGAGTGAGTGGCTCACCACATTGACCTGTCACAGGAAGTCTGCTGGCTTTCTTTAGAGTGACTCGGCTGTCCTGATATTCTCACCACCGAGGAATTCCCTAACCTTTTATTCTCTCCCTATAGGAACTTGCTTACTAGAAAACAAAATGCAAGACTTGACAAACAAAATGACTTGGGATGGAAGTTATTTGGAAAAATACCACTCGGAGAGAATGCTCAGAAAGAGTCAAAGAAAGTCCAAAAGGTATACAAGACACACACAACGTGTGCTGTGCAGCATATACTTATGAACCTTGCAAAAGTGACTATTTTGGAGGTTTGGGGATGGGGAAACTTTGTATTAATTTGCATGCCAAGTTCCTAACACTCAAGCCTGACTTCAGCATGTCAGTGACTGTACTTTATCATTTCTGACAGTTTGTAACAGGCACATCAGAGTGTTCAGTTGAGAGAGCTGCGCTTTAGATATATTTATAACTTGATTTAATGTAGTCACTTTTTCCTGGTAATAGTTGCAAATGTGTTTGTGGTTGATTTGTATTGACTGTGTTTGCTAGTAAAGCTCCCTCTCTGCTCCCCTGGGCTTCCTGGGACTGAATCCTTCCACTGCTGCATTGTTCACCCAGTTGTAGTGACCCTCCTCTTGCTGGCCCTGGAGCTGCCCACTGTCTGCCAGGCTTCGGGGTCAGGCCCGTCGGGGGCAGCTGGAGGCACATGCTCACCTTTCACAGAGGGGCTCCTGCAGGGACGGCAGGCCTGGGGGCTGACCCACCACCTGCATCTTTCAGGCCAGCCGTGGGCAAACTACGGCCCGCAGGCGGCCTCCGGTCCAGTTTAAGAACCCACTGTGGCCCTCGAGTCAAAAAGTTTGCCCACCCCTGTTTTAGGCTGTGAGCCCAGAGCTGCGACACTGCCCCCAGCAGCCGCACCCCTCCCACCTGCTTTGTGTTCATTGATGATTGTTGTGAGCACTCGAGGGTCTACTGGTGCAGGCCCTTGCTCTGCACTGGGGTTGGAGAAACAGCACACCTGTGCTCAGGAGAGGCCTCGGGAGGAAGTGCTTGCAGCGCAGGGGTTGGAAGAGCAGCACAGGTGCATGGGGATGGCGGCAGGGCCTGTGGGCCAGGCCGTACAGGGGGTTGAGTGTAAAGGTGTGATGGAGAAGTCACAATAATGGGGATGGATCATGTACTGAGTGGTTACTTCTGCTAACTTTAAGTGAGTCAGCACTTAGGTTTCTAGTTCATTTAAAACTCGCAACAACCTTATGAAGAAGATACTATTATTGTCCCCATTGTACCAAAGAAGCATCTAGATTCTAGACACAGGCAGAGGAGCAGCGGGGCTGACTGTCGGGAAGGGGCAGTGTGAGCAGGAGGTGGGGGCGCTGTCCAGGGGCCTCTGTGATATGATATGACGTGATGGTGATGTAATGTGGCATGATGGCCCTGGTCCCTGGCTCTGGCCTGCAGGCTTAGAGTGATGTGGTCACCCTGGCAAGAGTGTGGCTCTTGGGCTAGTCCAGGTGAGAGAAAGGGGTGTCTGGCTCAGGCTGTGGCAATAGTGGTGGCCGAGGTTGGCCCCTCTGAGCATGAAACATGGTGGATACAGGCGGGCGGTGTGTGACGGAGGCAGTGTGCACACATTGGGGTCTGGCCGGGGCCACGAGGTGGATTTGCACCTGTTTTATGCCTTATCAAATTAAGTTTGTTCTGAATGTGGCCTAACATTCCCCAGAGCTGGTGTCTGGAGCCAGGAGATTCACAAAATAAATCAGTGTTGGAGTTCGTATTTTAAATTTGGATCACTTCTTGTATAGGCTTATTAAAATAGCATAAAATTAAAATATGATGAGTTTGTTTGTAAAACTCAGCAAAATATTTCGTAGAAGACTAAGTAGCCAAGCAGTTAAGATATTTTAAAAGAAATCCACACTTTCAAAAAAGTAGCTATCATACTAAATAGATTTATTCTTAATATTACTTGAATCGTGCTTAAATGTCTCTGCCATCTTGGTCATTCGTTTTCCGAAGGTGAGCGTGGGCATGTTCTTTGACCTAAAGGGTGTTGTGAGCTGAAATGAACAGGTCAGCTAACTGTGTGGTGACACAACACTGCCGAGAAGAGCGCCGTCTGGCTGCAACCATCATTAACAAAGGATGTGCTTGCACCTGCGCGAGTCATGCAGCCCTGCCGTGTTGTTTGCTGGTGCTTTGTGTTTCTCGCCCTCTCATCTCTCATCCCTCCCGTCCCCACTCTCACCCCCAAGCTGCATGGCCTGAGAGCGATCCAGAGCCAGGACCTGCCCCCGTGGGGAGGGAGGCTCCTGGGCACCCGGCTCTTGCTGGCTGTTGTCGCAGACGTCAGCTCACACACTCAGAGAGCCCGTGCTGGGCCTGCGTGCTAGACTGTGGTCCCGGGTGGAGATGATGCTCCATCAGAGCTAAAGCCCGGCAGGTGTTGGGGAGACGAATTCCTTTCTCTTCTTTCGCAGCTTGTAGTACTTAGAGCATCACATGGTGACTTAACATGGGTGGGGGCCAGGCACCAGCGCTGTGTCCCAGCCCTGCCACAGCCTGGCTGCGTGGCTTTGGGCACGTTACTTTACCTTGTTGCACCCCATCTTCCTCCTCTTTGGAACTTGGAGAACAGGAGTCCCTGCCTCTGAGGTGCGGGTTAAAAGAGTGAATATTTACCATGTGCTCCCAGCAGCGCTGAATGTCTCGAGTGCTGGGGGTGTTTGCTGTTCTGGTTTCTGTCCTGTGACAAGTCTGCCTTGGACAACAGGAAGTGAAACTGCATGTGAGAATGAACCTGGCCCTGCCTTTCCCTTCATTTGCTTGTTCAACACATACTGCCGTGTTGGGGCCAGGCCGTGCCGGCTCTGAGCGCTTCTCTGTCGGTGGTCACCCTCTGGGAGGTCTCAGCTGGACTCGAGGCTTCTCATGTCCCCCTCCGCTGACAGCCCCCACGTATGTCTCCAGCCGGGACTGCATCTCTGATCCAATGTGGGCCTGCAGCTGCCTACTGGACAGCTTCACGTGGACGTGTAGAGGCATTTCCTGTTTAATAAGCAGAGGCCTAAACTTTATTTACTTTCTTTCCACCCTTTTGAACCTGTTCCCTTGCATCTTTCCTCATTTTGGTAAATGACAGACTTGACCCTTTTATTCAGGTCTAAAACATGTATTGAATTGAAATACTTTTTTAAAAAAATATTTTTATTGTATTTTCTTGTTTAGTTCAATATGCATCATTTTATTTTATTTTTAAAATCTTTATTGTGAAAGTATTACATATGTCCTCTCTTTTCCCCCATCGACCCCCTCCAGCCCCACTCCAGGCCCTCACCACCCCACTGTCTGTGTCCATGGGTCATGCATATATGCATGCAAGGTCTTTGGTTGATTACCTTCCACCCACCCACCCTCCC